CTTTCCCATTTATTTTCCTCTGGTTTTGAGAAGATGGTATCCCCATTTATAAAAATCTCTTCTATTTCATAGATGGACCTGTTGACAAATGATCGACAAAAAGTGCTTTTCTAAATAGAGAAGGTCGAAAAATGGAAGAAAAATGGTCTTGGACCATTTTAGGCAATGCCTGGATGACGAATGAGCGGATCTTCTCCAGGATAAGCTTGATGGGCGGGGCTAACAAATGTTGTTTCTGAATGCAATAGCTTCTATTTCAAATAGAGGATACAGTACTGTAATTTTTTGAAAGAATTGTTTAAAAATTCCTAGTTTTTCAGCTATTTTCCCTACAAAACTGGCGAAAAACGTATATTCAAAAAATCGGAGAATAGCTGAAAAACTAGGAATTAATACATACTAGGAAAAAATGTTGCGTATTATAATAATTTTTTAGTCTGGGCCTGTTTACACTCGTCAAAACTTTTCAAAGTGATCTAAAACTTGACAGACGAGCTTCAGACTCTCGAAAATCGTCGAATTGGTCAAAATCCACTGAAAACTTTGTTTTTGTATATCTTATTAACCGGCACTACATATATATTTACAATTAGCTCAATATCATTAAATCCGATTCCGAGTTACTGACCACCCTTAAGTTTTCCTCCTTTTTCCCTCTGTTTTACCCGCCCCTCCTTTCTATCCGCATTCAGATTCTTATCGTCATCGTCAATTTGATGAATCTTTTTCATATCTGATTTCATCATGACGACAACCACCCCGACCGCCGTCAGAAAATAAAATGAGAGCGGACGGACGGGCGGAGCGTATAAGAAGAAGAAGAAGAAGAGAGTACAAATCAATCCAAGCTGCACTAAATGCAAATTGGTGGCAGTTATGTTATGTACTAGTCTCAACTCCTCCTCTCATCTTGACTTCTGGGTTTCTCGTTTCTTCACGAAAACTAATTCTTATGATTTTTTTTCTTTTTTTCTCGTTCTCGAAAAATGTCAGAGGGCTTATGAGAGATTAACCCTTTCCACGATCATCCTTCATGTTTCAACGACACTTCTTTTCTCTTATTTTTGTTTTCGTTCTTACTTTTTCTTTTTTCAAAGAACTACACTCCTGACCATTTCCTATTCATTTCCAATTTGGTGGGAAACCAAAAGTTCAGGTGTTGATATCCATTTCCGTAACACAATGTCTCTTATTTGCACTCCATTTTCCATCTCGTTTTCCTTGTCATTCTTTGGTTTTGACCCTAAACAGAAGGCGAGAAAAACGTTTTTCGGTTCATGTACATTTGAGAAATATGTATGTATGTACATAAACATCGAATTACAATACGAAGAAACGACACGAAAATGAAGGAGCCGGCGACCAAAGAATCAGTGCACTGCTCGCACAAAGAGCACACACCTCAAGTGCGCGCTACTCACTTTTTGGGATACTTCTAATGGTTATCTTTTGTACCCCACCCAAAAGCTGTCAAATAGAGACGAAAATGTGTCAATTAGGTTAAACGAAATTGAGTTATGTTTTTGAACTTGGTTCGGTGGAAATATTTTTGATTTTTGGCACCCTTACTGAGAAAAAAAAACAAACCAAACAATTTTTTGCCCTAATTTTCTTTAAATAGTTTTTTTTCTAATTTTTTCAGAGATTAGGATATACATTAACGGTCATTAAGATATACAAAAAAAAATTTTCAGTTGATTTTGGGCCATTTAGACCATTTTCAGGAGTCTAGAGCTCAACTGTCAAGTTTCCGATCACTTTGAGAATTTTGGGGATTTTAAAACAGATCTAAATTGAAAACTTTGCTTTCACAGAATTTTGTAAAAATCCTTAGTTTTTCAGTTATTTGTCAGTTTCTGAAAGACGCCCTTTACGGTCCTTTGTTGCACTGAAAATGTAAAAGATCAGGTGTCTTAAGAAATCGGCAAATATCTGATAAGCTGATAATTTTAAAAAAATTCTGTGAATGCGAAGTTTTCAATCTAGACCTGTTTCACACCTTCCAAAGTTTTCAAAGTGGTCGAAAACTTGACAGCTGAGCTCCGGACCCTTGAAAATGCTTGAAATGGTCAAAAATAAACTAAAAATACGTTCTTAATGTATGTAATTCAGATTCTCAAGTTTAAGACTCCTGTATTTCTCCAACATAGGCAAAACTTCAATTAAATTTTTGAAAATGTTCCGTGAGGTAAACCTAGAACCTTTAAGTTGAAAAAGTTTTCCTAACAATGACATTTTTTGATTCCCAATATTCGATTAGTTAGTCATCCATAACGATTTTAACATTTTACAACAAAAATTATTAACGCGAGAGACCATTCTAGGGTCCCATGAGCAACTTAAATTATTAAACTCTGTGGGTTACTGTAGAAAGCTTAAGAAATCAATTGAATTAAATTGAGTATATTTTAATGTTTATTTTTTTACAAAGTAGAATCACAAACCCAAAATCCTCAAAGACAACCTCCAAGCCCTCTTGGTCCCAGATCAGTAAAGTGCATTTTGAAAAAGTGCAAAGGCTCTGCGTCCCCTGATGCTTTCTTTATCCCTATCACTTCAGCTTTTCTGAACGCACAATCACCTATTTTTAAAACACCAATCAACACAAAGTTTTCCAATTTTCATGTGCTCCCGCGACTTCTCTATTTCCTCACCCCTCGTTTTTCCTTCATCAGTTCTCCTTTCATTCCCGCAACTTGTTTTTTAATGTCTTTTTCTCTCCAACCTCTTCATTTCTTCTCTCTACACTGCCGCAAATTGAAACCTCAACTCAGAATCTTCCCTTGCTATCTCAACCTATGTTTTTTACTTGAAACAGAAGCAAGAGGAGTTTGTCTAAGTGTTTGTGGCCTCCTCGCTTCGTCATTTTTGTGCCCTTCTTCTCGTTTGCTTGTTGATGCATCTCTCTTCGTTTTTCTTCTTCATATCTGTTCCTTAACACGTTTTCTTCTAATTAGTTCGCCCACTCAGAACGTTCGATGCGTTTTTTTTTCTGGTTGGAAGTTTTTCCATCATTTTTTGGATTCTACACCTGCTCAATTCATCCCAATATGATTTTTTTTTAAATTCAAAAAAGTGCAAAAAGATTGAATTCGATGAGCAGGTGCTGAATAGATAGTAAATTGAATACTATTGACATCTCAAAAGGTTAAATGTCTGCTAGTACAATTCGATTTCGAATTACCAGTTTTTCGTTTTTTGAATTTCTGAAACTTTGATAAAAGAAATATTCCGATTCTGGAAAATTCCCTAGTTTTCAGAGTCCCTAGTTTCCAGATTTCCTAGTTTTCAGATTTTCTAGTTTTCAGGCTTCCTAGTTTCCTGATTCCCTAGTTGTGAAAATTCCTTGATTTCAGATTTTCTAGTTTTCAGATTTTTTAGATCTCAGATTTCCTAGTTTTCAGATTTCCTAGCTTTCAGATTCCCTGGTTTTGAAATTCCCTATTTTTGAGATTCCCTAAATTTCAGATTCCCAAGTTTTGAGATTCCCTATTTCTGAGATTCCCTAGTTTTGGAATTTCTAAGTTTTTAAATTCTCTAGTTGTTTCACTGGCAATCTAATTTTTGTGGAAAATATTCTTGATTGTTTTGGGGAATTCCGAAAATTTGAACTGTAAGAATTTGCAACAAGAAACTGAGACTTACTGCTTTTCGCAGTTTTGCAGATTTTGTTTTTTTTTTCAAGTTTTAAGTCCAAAATCTCATATTTTCTATGCTACTCCGACTAGAACCACCATGATCGTCGTATCCACCCTAGAACAGAAGTTTTACAGATGTTTGTCCTGATTGAAAACAAACAGAAAAAAGTGGCGGTGGTAGTGAAAAAAAGTGCCTGTGCCGTAAACATACAAACACACACTTTTGCCATAGTGCCGAAACACATATGCGCATTTCGCCTACTCTTTATCCGCTTTCTCTTTTTCTCTTTCATCTCGAGTCATAATTTATAAATCCCCCAACTCTTAATACTCGAATCCACTATTCCTCTTCTTCTCCAGCCCCATCACAATCCATCATCGTGAACTATGATCCATGGATCATCGCTTTTCTCTTTTCCTTCTATCTTCCGGTCATACTTTGTTGTTGCTATGCGTTTCGGTTTTGAGGCCTAGAAAAGATAGATAAATTGTGTTTGGGACAATTTTTTTTAGTTTGGAAGTTTATGCGGCCCCATTTTTTTAATCTCAAAAAATCCTTCTCAGACTTTTTCAGAATCAGAGCTATACTTACTTCAGTAGATCTCACCCTATAGGTGCACTTTGAGCTTAATTATCTCAATTCCTCTGAGAGATATCAAAAGCCTTCCAACTGATAAATTAGTTTGCAAGAAACCGAGATAATCGAGCTCAAAGATGACGGTTTGTGTGAGCTTCTATTAGAGGAAAAACGGTAGATTGCTAGAGATTGACTTTTTTCTAACGGCTTTCAAACGGCTGAAAAGTTATGTATCTTTTAACTTTTGAAATGACTACAGTGCCCCTGTTTTTTTCTCTAACTCAAGTATAATGAAAGTTGAAATATGATGAAAACCTGTCTTGACAGGAAGGCAAAAACATGTATATTTCCAAACTACATAACAAAATAGGACAAAGTTTCCTAGAAAAAAAACTGCAAGTAAAAGTTCGCACTAAGTTCGGTTTCAGTTTCTCTTTTGTCCGCCTAACCTATTGAAAAAATAGGATCACTTGTCATTGTTCAAATATTGACGGTTTGGTTTAGTGCAGTTCACTGACTTCTACAAATTTTGTTGGGTGGAGATGGTGCTGAGCAATTAGTTATGTTGAAACTTTCAAAACGGAGTTACGTAATTGATATACCGTCTTTTCTCTAATTGAAGCCCGCCCAAACCGCTTAATTCGAGCTCAATTATCTCGATTTCTGTGAAAGATATAAACAATGTGTCCACTGATAAAATGTTTGAGATGATATGATGAATAATTCATTAGTTGACAATTTTTTGATATCTTCCACAGAAATCGAGATAATTGAGCTCAAAGTGCATGTTTAGAGCAAACACGGTATGAAAGGTGGATGAAGCTTGAACCCCAAAAAATTCATATCTTCCAGCGACAAGTAATCAAAACCACTGACGGCGAGACTACGGTAGCAATCATCGAAGAACGTAGTCATATTCTCGATGGGAATTCCACAGATGTTCGTGCCTGGATTGAAATCGATGCTTCCGATCTGATCAAGTAAGTCACATAATTCTCATAGTTCTAAAAAATCAATTTCAGCCCAACCCTCCTAATCTCCTCTCCAGAAGCCGTCGCAGCTTTGGGTCTAGAAGTCGATTCCACAGCGTTTCAAAGATTCGAAAACGTTGGATTATATCTACCAGGAATCTGTTCAGAATACGTCCCAAAAGCTATTGATGAGTTTAATAGTAGTAGTTTTGAAGGTACAGTAATATTACAAAAATATGAAAAAAAAGAAATACAGGAATCGAAATCGAGGGACCTATTGGTGTCAATATAACCGCGCTGGAATTGGCAGGA